AAAATGATATTATAAATATATGATCATATACTATATATATATTTGTACTTTTCGTTTGAGGATCTTTTGGCAACCTAAGGGGAGAGGGCAAAGGGCTTCTAATTCTCTATGTGATGAAGGTTTGCTAGTATGAAAGAGATCAAGAGTGACCGGATGGCTTGACGGAGATTGGCTAGACTCGGATTGGTGAGCACATCATGGTCATGAGACGCACGACCACCACTAACATGGTCTTGTTGAAGTGGGTGTGGTTGTTGGTTTTGAACCTCTAAGGCCATTATATATAAGAGGAATCAAGGGAGAGAGATGGGTTTTCTTTAAAGCTTAATTAATTAAAGGGAGAGAGGAGGGTATAGAAGAGTATAGAGAGAGAAAGGGTAGACAGAGAGTGTGTTGAAATGAATTAAATTGAATATAATTGGAGGAGGAATGGTAGAAGACAAGAGAGTGTAAATTGAGGGGCAGGAAATGGTTGGAAAAATCCCAAGATGGGTTCAGAAAAGGGAAAATTGGAGTAAATATTGCAATTATAAAGTGCAGGAAACCTTCATTCATTGCGTAGGGAATTGACATTATATATATATATATATAAACATTATATATGAGTTAATGAATGCGTGTGTGAGAGTGAGAGGAATATAACACAAGAAAAACCCAACTTCTTTTAAAGCAAAACTGAATTTCTAACAGATCCAACCACACCATTAGCTTGAACATTCTTAGGAGTTGTATCATTATCTTCGTCATTACGTTCTTTTCTTTTTACCTTTTCCTTTCTTGTTTTTTTTTTTTTCTCTTTTCTTTTGTATCCAACAATATCTTCACCTGATACTTGGTATATTTATATTAAATAAAAAAAGGAAAAGATATACGGTTATTAATTGATACTTTAAACTTTACTTCACTTTCAAGTTTCAACAAGAATTAGGGAATTTAAAGCTGTTGAAAGATATAAAAGTCGAAGAGAGAAATTAAACATGAAGAACACAACACATAAAGCCCAAAGGCTACATCACTTTTGTTATATTTTCTCTTAATCTTTGTATATAATGATCACCTCTATTTATAGGTGAAAGAATACAAGTGATAAATATGGAAAATACATTGATAGAGGATTTTTAAAATCAATCCCATATATCACTCCAGTCAATATTCTATCATAGGCTAAAATCACTCCTATGATATTCTCATATTAATACTCTATTAAGGAGTAATTTAAGGGTTCCTATAATAATATTCTCCAACACCTCCCCTCAAGTTGCACACTGAGATTTTAACTCAAGTGTCCAACTTGAAACTAAATATGAAGTTGTGGAGAGTCTGAGACGAGTAAATTTGAAAAACAAATTGATCCGGAGTTTTGAAACAAAAGGAGTTGATCTGAAGATCTGAGACAAGTTGATCCGGAGATCCAAGACGAGTTGATTCGGAGACGAGTAGTGTATAGAGTAGGGTATGATAAACCTGCTTTGATACCATGTTGAAAGATATAAAAGTTGAAGAGAGAAATTAAACATGAAGAACACAATGCATAAAGTTGAAAGGGCTACATCACTTTTGTTATATTCTCTCTTAATCTTTGTATACAATGATCACCTCTATTTATAGGTGAAAGAATACAAGTGCTAAATATGGAAAATACATTGATAGAGGATTCTTAAAATCAGTCCCATATCATAGGCTAAAATCACTCCTATGATATTCTCATATCAATATTCTGTCAAGGTGTTATTTAAGGGTTCCTATAATAATATTCTCCATCAAAAGCCATTTAAATGTTATGAAAAAGTAAAATGGCTGCAATTAGCAAGTCACATATGTATACCTAATTATGTACAGTGGAAGGATTTGTTTACTCCTGTAATATATTAATCTTACACATCTCAGTATATATATATATATATATATATATATATATATATATAATATTTGTAAGATTTATACTTTAAGAATCCAATTGTTAGATTGAATCCCCTCTGGATTAAAGTTTTATTTTGAAGGTTTTACTAAGAGAAATATGATCTGATTTATGAGAAACAAATTTTACATATTATTAAAGGGTAAAAAAATCCACATTTATACCCTTCTGTGACTGTGTCTACATATACACATATGTTATTGTGGTATCTGAGGCACAATAAGCTCAATTTGCTTATACTAGTGTTGTGTTTCTGATGCATCACAAGGAGTGTCAATATGCCCAGGAAACAATAGCAACAACAATGACAAGCCTTATTGGAAAAACCCTAAAACAATAAGTATGAAAAGTGGAAAATAATGAAGTTCTTGGCATGTACAAGTGATAGCATGCATCCAAGTCTCACACACACTTCCACCTCTTAAATTCTAAATGGTAGTATGGTACAGTTCCACCAACCACTAATATTTATGTTTTGTCAGTGAGATTCTGGTAAAAGCTTGAAACAGTAAAGAGTTTAGTAAATACAAAGTTAATATAGGCAGATTTGATTTCCCAACATAAAAACTCTCTATCGACGTGGCCCAAGTTTGTTGACTAGGCTATTAATAATATATGGCATAAACACACACACACGTGAATAGTGCATTTGTATGTATATTATTATATACTAAATAATTTCACTTTCATGATAAATCTACATCTGATCTCATGATAAGAGAAAATGAATAAACATTGGCATCACATTGTATGTCCATTTGGAACAGCCATATAGCAAGTCCAGTCCTAATATTACACACACACACACACAAACTATATAACCAGTCCTTTTCGCTCCTGTTTCTGGTACCTGAACTCTTAAGTTTATTATCCCACATTAGATTTTGGATGCTACAAAGGTATTTCTATAAAATATATCTAGTCATAGCTTCTATTGTTCTATGTGTGTTCATTTTTAGCATTGTTTGGTTCTATAAAGCTAATCAGGGCACTCCTTATCATAAATTGGGCACTCCTTTGATTAAGGATATCAAAAAGACTAATTTCACCAATGATATGCAAATTTTTTTTGGAAGAACTCTGCTAAGAAGGTGCTTCCTTGCTTTCCCTTTTTCGGAAATAGAAATTACTTTGAACATAAATTGCTTAGTTATATTATAATTTGGTGGTGTTATATGGGACGAAATGGATATTTAATAATAGTCAAGAGACTCACAGGGTTGAAATCTGAACAATACCAATAGGTTATTACCTAAGGCCTATAAGAAAAAGATTGGAGATAAATCTAACCAGCTGCCTCTGACCTAATATAATAAGAACGATTATCCTTATGACCAAACAAGGACCAGCTTAAGGCATAAATAGCCAATATATAAGCATATATTCAAACTAATTTTCTACTTTTAAAAAAGGGGGAAGCAGGGTGATACATAGCCGCCTAAAAAACACAGAAGATATTGAAATTAATGAAGAACCATTTATTGGGTAGATATAATTAAAATTTATCTGCTTTCAATTAATTGGTATCAGAATTTTGAATTCAAAATAAAGAAAACATTGTATTTAATGAGAATTGGTTATTTGGTAAATACAATTAAAACTCAGCTTCTATCAGCTAATTGATATTAATTTTGGAGTTTTTATGAGGCCACCAATGGCCAAAACAGGGTTGGAAGATCTTCATCAATACCACTATTATTTTAAAGTCATCTTGGATAAGTATGTATTTATATCCGCCATTATGTCATGGGAATGGTTTTTCCGTTAAAATTCTTGAGAATGGACGGTATTTTTGGCAAATCAAATTGCTTCCTGTTAGTCAAGCGACCTAACCAATTGATTGGAATAAGAAAGCTTTTCTTTTGTATTTTTTGACAATTAAGATCTAGACCCTCGATTTGGAAATTGCTCATCACTTATGTAACTTCGTAATGTTGATGTTTGAGTGTAAATGGTTTAAATTATAACTCATTTGTACCAAACAGCTTATTTTTAATCCTAATATTCATGTTTGGTTTAAAGGTTGGAATTGCTTGGTCCCAAAATTTGGGTTATAGCTTCTCTTGTATGGACTCACCAATCCCCCTCAACGTTCCCAAGTCAACACGAGATGACGTGGCTATGAGTATGGGATGTATGTTCAACACATCCCCTAATTGGACACTCAAATCCTCTAAATGCGATGATAGAAGAAGAAAAGTTCAAATATTATGGTAAAGAGGTATTTCTTAATTATAGGATATATGCTCAACACATCCCCTAATTGGACACTCAAATCCTCTATATGCGATGATAGAAGAAGAAAAGTTCAAATTTTATAGTAAAGAAGTATTTCTTAATTATAGGATATATGTTCAACACATCCCCTAATTGGACACTCAAATCCTCTATATGTGATGATAATAGAAGAAAAGTTCAATTTTTATAGTAAAGAGAAGTATTTCTTAATTCTGAGATAGATGAGATTCCCTTTCCTTCACCATGTTTCTTTTGATTTAAATTATGATTGAGTATATCTTTAAAGATAGTACGTTCTTTGACCAAGCTCCCCTGGCGTCTTTTAATGAAATTTGATTTTTCAATAAAAATAATAATAGAATCATACATTATCCTTTAATATAGCATCTTATGTACTGAAATTTACAAGACGCGTCCACGTACCCGTATCCAAGTTTTGGATACAAATTTAAGCCAAGTCGCTGTACCCTTATATTTGGGATTTGGGAAGGTCTGACGCTTCATACACGGTACTCTCTATACATGTACCCAAGTCCGTGTTTCGTAACTTTTAGCATCATGATTTTATGTGTGTGTGTGTGTGTATAAATATTATTACATCTTCCTCTTCTATTAGATTGTGATGGACTTAATCTCATTCTTATAATTTTTTTCCCTTTCACTGTACTTGGCATGGATTTTATTCTCAATTTTTGTTAACTATTTTTTTTCCCTTTAAATGTATAATAAGTTTAAATGGCTTCAGGTGTTGGTTTAATCATATCATGCAACGTAGTTCTATTTTTAGCTCCTTCTACCGTTCTTTTATTTCCTTTGTGATTGATATTGGGACTTCTATAAACAGTTAGCAGAGCTATCAGAACCAACATGTCCTGAATTGAAGGAAACAATCCACTCTGTGGTCCACGGTCTCCTTGCAACCCTTTCTCCCAAGATGCAGTCCAAGGCTCCTCCTCTGTCAGAGAACTCCTCAACTGGAATTGTAAATGTTGGAACTGAAGAAGATTGCATTGATCTTGTTGAGAACACTTCAATTCCATTCCAGCCCCTCATTTCATTAACTCGTGACTATCTGGCTCGTCTACTGTTTTGGTTAGACCAGTTTCTCTCTCTCTCTCTGTCTCTCTCTCTCTCTCCTTATTATGCTTCAGTGCTTGTTTAGATCTCATCCACCCATCTCTTTCTGGATTTTCCATAAATTTAACGTTATATATTTTTTTTGAGTTTTAACTTTTTGTTTCGCTTTATTATTTTATTTATTTATTTCGGTAGAATCTGAACTTTCTAAAAATACCAAATTCTTCACTGAATGTTGGGAAGCTAACTTTTCTCATTATTGTAATTATATGGTGCCGACTTTCCCTAGTATCCCAATATCTTCCCCAATTTCTATCTATTTATGAAAGGTGATGGCCATTGCCACTACTGAAATGGGTTGTTTTGTTGCTTTTTCCTCATTAATGTGGCTATAGAAGCAGCCATCTTGGTCACGGAAACAGGCCCTCCCTTCTGGAAAGTAAAAGGCTAAGTTTCCACTTGTCTTTACCTTTTAACTTAATTTGGTTAACCTGTCAAAGTCTCTTTCGGGATTTGAACACTATTCAAATGTCCAAACCATGTGCGTGTATATACTAAAACTTGACTTAACATCTGGGCCAAACATGAAGGTTGTTTCTATTGCCTCTGCTCTGATTGACTTTTAAGTCAGTTTACATAAAATTTGGGTCTTGAATTGCCCCTTATGCTGTTTGGCTAGTATAAATTCATTTCCCATTCAAATGGTTCTCTGCTTCAGTGGAGAAAACCTAGTCCTAGAATAATTGTTAGAACTTGCAAAACATTTGGGGATTAAGGACAGGAGGGGGGAGGAAGAGAAATGCAAATTCTAGGTAGGTGGGGTTTCAGGAAAACCATAGGAGTAAGAAGTCCTTCATACCAATCGGCCCCTTTGCTGGAACATACTCAGTCCAGCTTATACTTCAGAACTAGGCAAAATATAACATTTGTATGCATTTTATTCCATCCTCGTTGGATGGAGACTGTTAGCTTCTGGGGATCTAATTTTTCCGCTTTTCTTGAAGGTGCATGCTATTGGGGCATTACCTCAGAGGCCTCGAGTATCGACTGGAGCTTATGGAACTTCTATCTTTGCCAAGCAATGTAGAGAATGATGCCTGTGGTGGACCTGGTAACGAGCAAGGTGCTTGAATGCTGCCTGCTTTGGTTGTACCCGTTTCCATCTGTATAGACATGTATTTTTTCCATATTAAATGGGTTCGGGACATGAAGCCAGCAATGCGTTATGGGAGGAGTATGGCCCGAAATCCTGCTGTTACCCTGAAGGATGCATCTCATATTGTTTGTTACCGCAGCACTTTTTTCTCTTTGACATAAACATAAATGTTGTACTATCACTACCCAGCCTGTGTGCTTGGGCTGAAGGAAGTAATGATGCCCTTGTAATTTTGCAGTCAGGATGGGCCTCGGAACCTATACTTTGTCAATATTAATCGAAAAATCCAATATAAAGGAAATTTTCGTTCTTCTTGTTGCACAAATGTGGTGTGAGTGTGTTTCCAACATCATCTACAAATTAATTGGCAATCAATTGTGAATGCTTGCAAATATTGTCATCTGGAAATTTCTTTTTGATGATAACGGTAACTGGTTTGGTTTGGGTTAGCAAGGGACACTTTGAACTGGTGGGAATTGGAAAGAGAGAGCCAAGTAATGTTTTCTGTATCTTTAAAATAGTTTAATTTTTGTAGACAACAAAAAATGATGCAATTATAGGGAAATGTTTTTAAGTAGTCATTTCAAAAGCTATGCTTTTTGAATGAGCTTCAACAATACGGTTTCTTTGAACTTTTCCTGGGATATGTTACCCTTCTAAGAATCTAAGCAGTTGGACTGGAGTTTGTTAGTTATTATTCATTTTGAATGAATTTCAACAATATCATTAATAAGAATATAAAAACTAAGGTTTAATTTCACTTAAATAATAAGGTGGTAAAATGACATTATTGTCTACTTTTAAGAGAATTATACTTTTAGGGATGTCAACGGCACAGGTTACGGACGAGACATCATCTTCCGAATTTGCTCCATAAAAAAGAAGAAGAAGATAACATTAGTTACGAGAGAAAAGAAAGGAAATGAGAGGATACCGTGAGCTACTTATCGTGTTCGGTTGACCAATGAAGGAAAATAGAGGAAATACTAGTAATCATGTTTGGGAAAAGAAAGAAAAAGAAACAATTTTAATGAATTTACCAATATAACCTTTTTCATGGTTCTTGTCTTTTATAAAAATAAGAGCAAATTTAATATTATAAAAATTTCATTAAAAATGCTACAATTTTCTTCCATTTCCTCCCATTTTTTGAGGGATAACAAAATAACTATTCAATCTTTAAACATATCCCTCAAAATCCTTCCATTTCCTCTCTTTTCTTTCAAAAAGTTTATACCAAACACAAAACTCCATATCCGTCTTTCCTTCCTTTTCTTCTCAACCAAACTAACCCAATGCTATGTTTGGTACGGTAGGAAAGAAAAGAAAAGATAACATTAGTTATGAGGAAAAGGGAAGGGAAGGATAATTTTAACCTCTTATCGTGTTTGGTTGATTAATAAAGAAAAAAAAATGAAATGATAATAATCATGTTTGAGAAAAGAAAGGAAATGAAACTATTTTAATAAATTTATTATTATACCATTTTATCTTTTAAAAGATAAATTTATAAATTTAACTATGTAATATAAAAATAAATAATGATTTGATAAAAACATATTGTTATTTTGAATTCATGTTATACCTCTAACTTATATGATAGATAGGCAAAAGAAATGTATGCTAGATAGGCAAAAGAAATATTCCTATTTTGATACAAATGAGTTAAATTAAAAGTGAACAAAAAAGATGGACTGCATAATATTTATGTGACAAATGCATAAAAAATATGAAACAATTATTTCAGTGATAAATTATAGGGTAAAATGCAAGAAACCCCCCTGAACTATGGGGGTTTTGCAACTAACCCCCCTGGACTTTGATTTTGTTGCATATTACCCCATCAGGTCGCCGGAAAAGGTAAATGACATTTTTGCCCTTACTATGAAACTACACCGTTTGAAGCATTGTCATATTAATTTGATGACGTGGCAAAAAAATCTCAACAGCCAATGGGATATTGACAGCACACCAAAGATAGGTGGTGAAATTTCAACGTAACCACCTTCAGTTGGAATTCTCATTCACCGATGGCTACTGAAACTACGGAAGCGAATTCCTAAAGAGAGAACATGAGTCACCATTGGTCATGGATTTGCGAAGTTCGCGATGTGAGCTTTGGTAGAGAAAAGACCAGAAAAGGCGGACGCATTGTGTCTATAGTTTAGACCAGAGACTTGTCAGCGTCGGTGGCGAGATGAGGTCGGTGATCGGTTGATCAACTAACATCAACCTTCGCAATAGCATGAATCATTGTAAAATAGGGCTATTGGTCGGGTAAGTCGAACCACTGGGACTGCGCTAGTCTAAGGCAACCTAAGTGTTTAGAGTCATTCTTAGGATGATGAAGGGGTGTTCATAGAGGTTGTGTTTGTTGTCACTTAAATTAGGAATTCAAAGTGCATAAAACACTAATTTACAAGGAATTTAGGATGAAAAGATTAAGAAGAGGAGACTAGGGAAGTGAATCCGCCTCCATCCCTATACATATGCTAGATTAGACCTAAATTTGGGGAAAAACAACATATGATGGTCAAGACTTACATAGCAACACATGGTTGCCATATAAGTAATCAAGAGGTACATTAGGTCTCAAACAAGTATAATCCATCAAAAGATAAACATGCTTAGACTACCTAACTAAGGTGTAGCTTATACGCATTTACTTAAATGAGAGACTATCAAGTTCTTGACAAAATGATAAAGCACATGGAGTTAGAGATTAAGCATACACCATCAAAGGATTTCCTAAGCAATGGTCTATCAAGGTCACCTATCAACATGCCATGAAACCATTTCATAACCTTGCTTCCACTCTCACCATGAAAAACTCAAGCAATATGATTACTCTAAGACATCATCTAAGACAAGATAATCAACTTAAAGAAATCATCCATACATGTATCAACATTCATTACAACAAATGAGGTGCTCTTGGTTATGAAAAGACCATAAAATATACATGGCAAATCCCCAAAATAGACTATCCTAGGACATGCTTACAAGGGAGGGACTTCATCACCTCCCTAGAGAAAGAGTTAGTTACCCATTGCTAAGCTAGAAGAAGGAAGAAGCTCCATCCAAGACTCCATTTTCGTGCTCCTACTGTAGCACTCAAGAACACCCTTCTCCTTGCTCTCTTCTCTCTCCTCTATCTTGCTAAAATATTCAAGGATAGCAAATGTGTGGCCTTTGGTAGCTTTTTATTCTCCAACAAAACCCTCTCTCTCCCCTCCAAGGAACACCTCCAACCACTTCATAAAGAAGGAAGATGGCATTGAGGAAACCAATGTGCAAGTGGCTGAAATTGAGCCATTTCCGAGTGCAATCTGCCTGATTTTCGAGCACTCGAAAAGTGATCTCGAGCACTCTAACTTAATGCAATGTGCAACATGCTCCTCTTGCTCAGCGCTGACCTATTTTGGTAAAACTGCTATAACTTTGTGTCCCGAACTCCGAATGATGATCTGTTTAAATATTTGGAGAGCTGATTCAGTGCTTTAAAAACTTTATGTTTTGATGAAGACCCAATTCTCAAGTCTGGTTAGTCGAAAATGAAGATCAAGGCAGAATTGCATTGCTGCCAGGCAGTTCTGCGCACCTCTGGAAACAAGGCCATAACTCTCTGCTCCGAGCTCTGAATGACAAACCGTTTGAAGATTTGGAAAGCTGATTTAGAGCTCTAAATCTTTTATGTTATGAGGGAAGTCCAGTTCTTGAGTTTGATATGTCGAAAATGGCGACAAAAGTCAGGATCACTGCTGCCAGAAATTCAGAAATGGCATCCTTTTTGTTCAAAATTCCACAAGGCATCATTTTTGCTTCCTTTTTGCACTTTAACCTGAAAATGCATAAAAACATGCAAATGGAGTTAATCTACATAAAATAATCAATTAATGGACTTTGTTAATGTAATTTAGGGCGCTTGAATATACAGTATTCAGCGCTTATCACACCCCCAAACTTACATTTTGCTAGTCCCTTAGCAAAATCAAAATGCAAAACTCAATGGAATGAAAACATGGGAATGCTATTACAAAAATATTCACCATGGCAAAGATAAACATAAACATAGCTCAAATACAACTTGAAACAGATAAAAAGCTGGAGACGGGATCATTGGGAAGACTACCTTGCATATATGAAGCATTGATACAAAAAAAATGGGAAAAACCATTTCAACATGCATGCATCAACATCATAGTCCATATAAATAATTCAATTGTCATCTCTTAAATGGAAATAACTCAAACTCCAGTGAAAGTGAATTGAATCCTCAAGATGCGGCTTTTACTTTCTTTTCCAATTCCAAGGCACAAGTTTTCAAATCAATGAATTCCCCTTTACATGAAGTCCCCAAGGCATGATTTTATTTTCAAGACAACTTTTGTTGCCTGTTAACAATTTATTGCAACTCATAAGCGAAACATAGAATGGTTGTGCAATGCTAAAGTCCCTTAAGCTTTCTAACCAACCTATGTAGCAAGCGTTAGGCCAACAGCTCCCAAACCAGACGGCTTTAGGGTGTTAAGTGTAGAGACACTCCAAAGGGCTTAATAGCTCAAGTTGGAAAGGCTACGAACTCTAGCTAACCATGTTTATTACAATTTTTTTTTGAATGACTGTGCAATGTTTAAGTCCCTTAAGCTTTCTAACCAACCCTTGTAGCAAGCGTTAGGCCAACAACTCCCAAACCAGACGGCTTTAGGGTGCTAAGTGTAGATACACTCCTAGGGCTTAATAGCTCGAGTTGGAAAGGCTACGAACGTCAACTAGTCATTTTTTTTTTTTTTTTTTTTTTTAGATACATGCCAAAGGTATTCATCTATCAGGTTCATCAAATCAGATTAACTAGGCCAAGGTCAAGGTTGATCAAGTTGCATGCCTCACAGTTAAGTTTCCAATGTGCATCTGTGCATTGTGAAGCTTATAAGAGTGTAAATCCAGCAAGAATCTAATTGAAACATTTATACAGACTAATTTGAATCTACATGATCATTTCAACTCAAATTTTTCTTTATTTTCAAAAATTTCAATTGCTTCTATACACAAGGTATTAAACATATGTTTCATCTCCGACAAGTGTCAAGTTATACTATCATTGCTTAGCAAAAATTATGAAACCAAAAATATGCCAAGAATGCTTTGATGCACCCCCAAACTGAAACTACACAGTGTCCTCAATGTGGGACATGGATGTAAGTTAGAGACAAAAATGACAAAGAGTATAAAAAGGAACAACAATACCCAGGGGGAGGAAACGGCATTTTGATCCAAAAACCCCCAAACTTGAATTGGACTGCGCAACC